CTCTGTCTATCCAGAGCAGTTCTTATCGACCTTCAGCTTCCGTGGACGGAGGGGGATTTTAAAAAGAAATGGCAAGTGTTATTTCTCGCCCGGCTGATGATAAAGGAACGTGTCCTTTAGTGGTGGTTTGGAACGGTTCAGGACATTTGCCGCCAGACAGAATCCTCACCAAATCCCAGAGACATCCATCTATATAAGATGACGGCGCATCTGCCAGGAAGTTAATGAAAACCTTTTGTTCTTACATAACGAACGTGTGCTGGGTCCAGATGTTTCCGTGCGCGCCTCTGCTTCGCTGCCAGCCGCAGGGTGTGCCTGGCTTACCGTGCGGGAGGGAGCCCGGCTCTGTGGACAGGCACCTGCCTTGGGTTTGGAAGGGTGCCGGTTCGATTCCTGCTTGCATCTCTGGGCCAGAGGCTCTCAGGTAGCCTTGAGAGGGGTTGGTGAGTAGGTGGGGGTGTGTGTTTTAAAATCCTTGCCTCCCGGCTTGATTTTCATCAGCCATCAACAATCTGCTGAGCTTGGCTGGACTGACTGTGGATTTGGTGTAAAGCCGCAAGATGTGTCCCCTGAGTTTTCAGTGCCGTATCGGTCGCATCCAAAGTCAAGATGGTGTGATCTGAAGCGGGGGTGGGGAACAGTGAGAAAATGGGGAAAAAATTATCCCTAGGTTTAGAGTAGGGTCTGAAATGTTACCACTCCCAGGATCCTGATGATGATGCTGAAGAGTCCCCAGAAGCCCAGTGGCCAAGGAGGGAAAGTCTGGGCGTTGAAAAGCCTCTTCTGGGTTGGAGAACCTAAGACCCCAGAGATCTCTTGGACTACAGCACCTATCAGCCCCACTTAGCATGAACAAAGGTCAAGAATTGAGGGAGTGATGCCCAAAACAGACCGAGAAAACCGGGTTGCCCACCTCTGATTTGGAAACCAAGGCAGGAACTGGGGTGTTGTTGGTGGAATCAAATAGATGTAGAGAGCTTGATGGAAATCTTGCCAGTGCCAGGAAGGTGGTGGGTATTGGGCAGGATTTTTTTTTTATTCCACCTGAATTTTGGCCTTCAAAGAGCCAACCTGGTCCAGCATTGTGTTGTCTTCACCGTTGTCGTTGTATAGAAGGGGTAGCCGTGTTTTGTCTGCGCAAGCGTTAAAGGTGAGACCAAAATAAAAAGAAGAAGTAGAAAAAGACCAAAATAGGGTAGCACCTTAAAGGTGAAATTTTATATTTTTTGATGCGAGCTTTTCTGGACAAGTCCACTTCGTCAGGCCTAAGAGAAGGAGATAGGTCTGAGGAAGTGATATCTCCTTCTCTTCTGCCTGATGAGGTGGTCTTGTCCACGAAAGCTCGCATCAAAAAAATACAAAAGTGAGTCTTTAAGGGGCCACCACCTTTTTGTCTTTAAAAAAACCTTTTATTCTGTTTTCACCTATAAGTTCTTTTTTCCACAGTGGCCAGAAGGAGTGCGTGATGGCCCCTGGCCTTCTGTAGCCGGTGGCTAATTGCACCTGATAAGACTTGCCAGTCTTTCTGTAGTTTGTTCTTAAAGCCAGCCTTGGCTTGATCTTGTCTGTGGCCTCATGGCCTTTGTGCCCCCTTGCCTTTGGGGACCTCTTGGGAAAGGACTCCGGAGAAAGGGGCATTGTTGCTTATTTTCTCTTTTCTATTTCTCTCTCTCTCTCTCTCTCTTTAATTTTTTTTGCCGGAAGCTAGATTTGCCAGGGTTTGCCCTATCAGCAGAGCGTAAAGGCCAGGCGGTATAGAGCTGGGAGTTAATCATTGACCCAGGAGAGGGAAATTCTGTTTTCCCGAAAGGCCACCAAAGGCTGCCTTTTTCCCCCTCCTGACATCCTTTTGTAGTGGGGAATGTCCATATTTGGAAATTTTTTAGCCATCCACTAATCTATTGGAAGGGGAGGGGAGGTGACTCAGGGCCTGGTGGAAGCCAGCCTCGGATTCCTATCGTGAGGATAAGTTTTTTCTTTCTTTCTTAACCGTCTCTCTCTTTTCCTTCTTGCTTCCCCTCCGATTGTGGTCAGCTCTGGAGTCTTCTCGTGTCCGGCGCGGCTTCCAAATTCGTTCTGCTGCGGGACGGCGCGTCTCCTGGGAGGGAGTGGAGCCGGACGGGCGTAAGTAATGGTCTTATTGGCGTAGCGAATGGGGTGGCGACAGCGGCGGTGGTTTGTTGGGTCCGGAGGCTTACATATTAAACCAGACACAAACGCCCTGGCCTTCACGCAGCAGGCTGGATGCCGTGCGGTTCGCCTTCCCTTCTCCACCCCCAAGACTTGGGACCCTGGACCCTTTCTTGAGATGAGCTGCGGGCGCCTAACGTCTCCGGCTGTGTCCCAACATTTGCAGAAGTCCCTATTTTGGACAGCTGCCTGTAGAATCCTGGGGTTTATAGTCCTTTTAAAAAAGGAACGTTCTACGGCACATAAAAGCAGGTCTTGTTTCCTTTGGGGGTTTTGCGTCAATCTTGGCCAGGCACGGAACAGGCTTTAAGGGTTTCCTTTTCCTTCGAAAGAGCTGCCTTCCCATTTAGGGCTCTCTTTAACCTGAAGGCAGCTGCATTTCCTGAGTCAATATTTATTTCTGATTCATTGGCAAATTCAGGGAACTGGTTCCGCCTGCTGCCTCCAGCTTGCCTCGTCCCTGGAAAGGGACCTCGTTTGATTCTATTCGCTTTTCCTGGTCGTGCCTTTGTATTAAGAACCCCAGCAGGATTCCCAAACAGGCCCAACTTTCTTTTCCCCTATAATTTTTCCGGAAAGGAAAGGGCTTTTTCAGCACCCAAGATCGGAAAGGCTCCTGCGCCTTGGCTCAGGTTAGCAAAGGGAAATTTACGAGCACACAATTCCTCCTTTTTAAAATTTTGGTAGACGGTACTGACTTTAGCAGTAGACACAGTCCAGAACCTGGGAATGAATTACTTTTCAAAGTAATTCGTTCCTTTCGCTTGTTACCATTTGGTGAATAACCGGTTGTTCCGTGGAAAAAGAATTTCCTGCTGTCACCCTCGTTAGTTCTTTTCCGCTTTTCGGGTGCTCTGCGTTATTTAATAAAATAAAGCAACAGTGCAGGATTTATGGGAGAAAAAGGGTAAAGCACCTCGTGAGGATGTTTATAAAAATGCTTTTCAGTGAAGCACCTTGTCAGATCGGTGAAGTAATTGTGTCTTTACTCATTATATTACTTTTGTCAAGTAACTGTGTTACATATTTACTACCAAAACAAGAACTTGTAATTTCTGAACTGTGATTCAGGACATCGATAAGTTGTTTCACGTGGGACCACAATTCCTGGATAGCATTTATTGGTGTTGGTTGGTTGGTTCATTCGTCCGTGGGTCTGTCTGCTCGTTCTGCCCATCCGGCCAAGGCCACTCTGGGCGGCTTTCCACATATATATATATTTATGAATTTCTCCAGAGTCACAGGAGAATTGCCCTGTCTCCAAGCAGCCCCATTTTGCTTGATCTTTCTTTGATCTTCTTGCTTTGCTTTGAAGTCTGTTAAGTGACTTCCGGCTGGCCCAGCCAGAGTCTTGTCCTGGTGGGAGAGACGCTCTTCAGCATTCGTAAGTTTGGCAAAGTGTGTCGTTTTTACTCGCCGTGGTTTTAGCCTCGCTGCTTCTGGTTTCATGCAGGAAACTTTCCCTTGCTTTGAACAAGGGGGTTTGGTCTAGGGGGTTTGGTCCCCATGACGTGGAAGGCTTTGGTGCTGCCTTGCCTTATTTCCTTCCTTATCTGCAGTCCTGTTGAGCCTCTGTTTGCAAGACCTGAGCTGGCCCGTGGGGTTGCAGGATCTTTTGGGAGGCCTCCTCTTCATAGGGACCCTGTAGGACTTGATGGGTCAGCAGGATGTCCAGCCCGGCTGCCATATGGACTCTCACCCATGAGTTAGCTACCTAGGAGGGAGGCTGAGAGAGAGATTGAGAGAGAGAGACTAGGTAAAATCTGCATTGCTTCCTTCTCCTCCCTTCCATTCTGGCTTGACCTTTGTCCGCCTACCTGCCTGCCAGCCTGCTGATCCCCTATTGATATGAAGTGCACTTTTCAAATTTAGATAGGTCCTCTGGAAGTTGAGTCCTGGCCACTGGACTTCTTTCTTATTAGGCTGACACTGTTCCACTCCTCCTCTGAGTAGCTTCTTCCGTCTGAAGAGAGTTGGTAGGAGGCCCCTGCATATCTCCTCCGCCTTGGTTCCACTTCCCCCTGGTCTGAATAGGCTCGTTAGAAGGACAAAGGATTTGGGGGTGAGGGATAATTCCACTTCTGCAGTCCTTCTCCACCCCCTGCTGTGGGTCATGGGTGGTCTTTAAGAGGGGTCTTTCTGGTGGGTCGGTGTCCTTATCGTTCTGGGGATGGATGAAAGGGCAGCAGGATAAATAGGAGGCCTCCATCCCTGTTGAGTGAGGGATTTTCTCTGTGCACGTGTATGGAGTTGGTTTTTTTTTTTTTGGGAGAAGGGGTTCAGATAGTCTTCTACAGTATCTGGTGGAGAAATTCATGATGAGAAGGCCCGGAACCCCTGGTCTTCTTCATGGAAATATTTTAATATGTTTTTAAAAATACATTATTGGCCAGTGGAAGGGCAAGAGGGCTTTTTCACTCTAACTATTTCTGTGAGAATTTGTTTTTGAAGGGAGATTAGTGGGTAGGTGAAGTGGGCATGATCCTCCAGGATCCAGGCAAATCTTCTTAACTGTTAGAGCAGTATGACAATGGAGCAGATGACCTCGGAACGTGATGAGCTTTCTGAAAACCCATTCAGCCTCCAGGAAGCCCTGTAAATGGCAGTGAGTCCATTCCATCTCCTCAAGTCCCCATGTCATTTGTTGAGTCTGTAGTTATGTAGAGTGCAGAGTGCTTTCTGAACTGGCCTGCACTGAAACTCAGCCATGGCCCCAAATCCTAGCCCTTTTATACCTATAAGGCAGCTAGCAGCTGCTGTTTATTTATTTATTATTTATTTATTTGTTTTATTTATATCCCGCTTATCTGGTCGGTTAAGACCACTCTTCCAACTCCATGATTCTAAAGCAAAAAGCAAAGTGTCCTGCTTATATGCTACCTAATAGCACTTAAAACACTCTCTGGGCAGTTTCCAGTATACAGTGGTGCCTCGCATAATGATGTTAATTGGTTCCATTAAAAACATCATTATGTGAAAACATCGTTAAGCGAAGCACCATTTCCCATAGGAATGCATTGAAAACCGGTTAATCCGTTCTAATAGGAGCCTATTCAATACATTTCAATGGTGAAAAAAAATCACCAAAAATTCAAAAAGACTCAGAACGAAGCCAAATTACCTTAACGAAGGTTTTATTAGGTGTACTAATGATTCCAAGCATTTTAAACATTTTAGAATATTTTTAAAATAGCGAAAACAGGGCTGTCAAAAAAAAGTTAGGCGAAACAGGGGACCTAAAACTGTCATCGTTAAGTGAAGCAAGGTCCCAAACATCGTTATGCGAAAATCCCCCATAGGAAACATCGTTAGGTGAGTTGGCAAAATTTCCAGCAAACGCCATTGTTATGCGAATTCATCATTGAGCGAGGCACACGTTAAGCGAGGCATCACTGTAATTACATAGGCTACATATTGCTCCCCTGCCCCCCCAAGAGCTGGATAGTTAATTAACTGTTCTTGTAAGGATGGAAAGCTGAGTGAACCTTGAGCCAGCTCCCTGGGACTGAATGCAGGTCGTGAGCAGAGTTTTGGCTGCAGTGCTGCAGTTGAACCACCACACCATGATTATATACGATTCTGTGATTCTATGTGTGCGGCCTTTAGACAGATGGGAGGTTGCCCGCTCCTGTCCTAGCTTGGGGTAACCATTTCTGGAGCACCTCCTTTTTCAGAAATTTATATTCCTGTACTTGAGTGCCTCAGAATGTGCAGAGTGCTTTTCTCTTGAGGAGAACATTAGGGAATTAGGTTTCAAACTATGAAATATTTTGAACAAAAGTTTTTTGTAAATTTATGGGGAGGTAGTGTCACCAGTGGCTACCAGTGGCTACCAGTGGCGGATACATGCCTCTTCCAGGAGCAGAGAGGATGTTATAAGCCAAGCTATCAATAGGCATGTGGTTGGATGGATGTCACAGGACTAAGGAAGTATCCGGTCCGCAGTGGTGACCCCATTCTCTCTAAAAAATCTTTTCCCTTGACAAGGAAGCTCAACGAATACCTCCAGAAGGCTTCTGTAGACATCCAGAGCTTTGTAAAAGGTAGCCTATGGTGCTTGCGGTGGGGATGAAATTTAGAAAAAGTGAACCTTTTCCAAGGACATTAATAGACTCCTAATTCTAATATGCTTCATGCATACTTGAAAGGCAGTTTATGTAGTTTTCTTTTCTTTTCCTTTTACAAAGAGGATCGGACAAGAGGAATCTTTGGAGAATATCTTAAAAATGAGAGAGGTTGCACTGTAAAGTGCCGACTAATAAGATGATGATGAGATTGATAGCACATAACGATAGCATGCCCTGTGTTAATGGAGCCAGCTAGCTGCATGGTGGTGATGGAGTGCTCTTAAAAGTCATCAAAATCATGCGGATGATGGGGGGATAATAAACGTAGATTGTGAGGGATAAATATCCCAGTGTTTGAGCCTCTCCCGAGCCCTATTTCTCCGTGAGAATTGGTTCTCATTAGAGACGGACACAAATCAGAAAAATAGTGATTCATTTAGGTTCATGAGTCATCAAGGTTGGCGAATCACAAGTTGCGAATTTATGATTTGCCAACACAAATCAGAAAAATAGTGATTCATTTAGATTCATGAGTCGTCAAGGTTGGCGAATCACAAGTTGCAAATTTATGATTTGCCAATTATTTTTTGAAATTTAAAACCCTATAAAATGCCCCTCCCAAGCACCTAGAGAAACAAAATTTTCAGGGGAAGGTTCCCCCAACTCTTCTCTGTAAGCCACGTGAGTTTGGTGAAGTTTGGGTTTCAGACATCCAAGCTATGAACCCACAAAGTGCCCTCTTGCAACTGGCCTGGGGAAACCCAGTTTGCACCAAATGTAGACGGCTTGTAGAGAAGAGCCAGATGAAGCTTTCCTGCAATTTTGGTGTGTCCAGGTGCCTTAAGGGCCATTGTATAGCCAAACAAA